GTGCCCAGGCTCAGCCCCCGCCATGCCGCTGCTCAGCCGCTGCCGCCCAGGTCAGGCACAGAGCAGGAGTTTGCAGGTCCGGGCAGGAGCTAATCCCGTGCCCAAACACCTTCACTGCTGCCGTGGGAAGGGAGCCCAGGGTTAGCGTGGACCCACGGGTGTCTGGAGGAAGAAACACAGACCTGGGCAGACCCTCGCCCACTCTCAGAACTGAGACAGATGCTCACTGTGAAATTCAATTAAAAAGAAAAAATATCCCTTGCTTTCAGCATGTTCTGTCTCAAATCTGCAGCCATGCTGCTGGTTAAATCAGAATCACAGAATCCAACTGGTTTGGGTTGGAAGGGACCTTAAAGACCATCCAGTTCCAACCCCCCTGCCATGGGCAGGGACACCTTCCACTAGCCCAGGTTGCTCCAAGCCTCATCCAGCCTGGCCTTGGACACTCCCAGGGATGGGGCATCCACAGCTTCCCTGGGCAAAGCAGCGGTGAAGAGCTGCAGGAGCCAAGTGCTCCCGTAACCCCGTGTGCCGGGGGCGATGGCTGCTGCTCACGGCAGAGGTGCAGGCCGGCCTCACGGCCCGGGCAGAAAGGGTGTCAGCCGGCCCCAGACGGCGCTCTCCGCCAAATCTGACACCAAGGGGTGTGAAAACTGATTAAAACTGCTGTTGGGTCACAGCGTACGGGGCTTTCTTCAGGGTGCGAAGCAGAGAGTGGCAGCGGGGCCAGGAGCAGTCATTTGACACCTACCCCAAGCGTTTTAACGCCCTGAGCCAAAAACCTGATTTCCTGCAAAATGGGAAATTTCTTCCCCTCCGGCACTTTCACACATGCCCCCCCTCCCACTCACCGGCATTTCCCACGCGACTGATAACCTTCAGGAAGGGTCTGTAAAGCCGGCAGCTGCCGAACCCCAACACGGGGCCTGGAAAGGGCCTTCGCGCTGGTAAACGAAGGCAAATTGGTGGGAAGAAGAGGCCGATTTTCTCGGCGAGCAAGGGCGGCTCACGGCATCCTGGCCAGCATGGGAACGGAGCTGGAGCTTCCCCGAGCTGGGAATGGGGGACAGAAGAGACAAAGGCGGACATGGCAGGACATCAGGGGTTACAAGGAACCTGGGGGAGACTTTTTCCAAGGGCCTGTAGTGACAGGACAAGGGGTAACGGGTTTAAATTGAAAGTGGGGAGGTTTAGATTAGATAGCAGGAAGGAATTCTTCCCGCAGAGGGTGGGGAGGCACTGGGACAGGTTGCCCAGAGAAGCTGGGGATGTCTCATCCCTGGAAGTGTCCAAGGCCAGGCTGGATGAGGCTTGGAGCAACCTGGTCTAGTGGAAGGTGTCCCTGCCCATGGCAGGGGGGTTGGAACTGGATGATCTTTAAGGTCCCTTCCAACCCAAACCATCCTGTGACTGTGGTGTGGGCAGCGGGTGCTGGAGCTGACGCCGGTAACGCCCAGTGCCGAGCCCTCTCAGGAAGGAGAGCTTGGGGCTGGGAAAGGCTCCATGGAGACGCCAGGCGGGTGTTTGCTGTTGCTTCTCCAGCTGTTCTCAGTGATGCAGAAACTCGGTATTGCCAGTGCATCCCCACTCCACTTCCCTCCAGCACCTCTCTTCCCCACCCCCCGAAAAGTGAGGGAGAGGAGGACCCAAACAGCTCTGAGCAACCATCAGCTCCCTGGGCCACTGCCCGGCCTGCAAGGAGCGGGGAGGAGGAACCAGCCGAGGAAGCCGGAGCAGGGGTAGCAGGGGACGCTGTTGCCTGCCCCTCTCGCAGCAGGCGGGGGCCTGAAGCGAGCAAGAGACGGGAAGTTGGAAGGTCCTGACCGGGGATGGGGGCTGTGGACCCTGGGAAGAGGGAGGCAGGTGGATTCGTGGCTGCTCCCCTCCGTCTGCCACCTGCGCCGCCACGGAAGGGGAAAACCTGTCCTGGGGGTGTTCAAAGCACACACGAAGCCAGATTCCAAAGTTCTGTATTTTTCAAAATAAAGATCACACGTTGTTTAGAGACAATCTACACAAGAGTTACAAAAAATAGTCGCCCAGGCATAAGCATACACAGGTTTGTTAATTATACACATATGGTTACAAGTGTGCTTGCAAAAAAGTTCATTGGAAATATACACAAGGCTCTGTAAATGTACACCGTGTAGTGTTACAATTCTATATTCAAACAAGGAAAATTGACAGTATGTTACATTCACTTACAAGTAGACAAAATGCAAAATACAGTTCATCTTCTGTACAAAAAAGGGAGGTGATTCACACTTTACAAGGTGAAAAGGGACTCTGATTGTAAGGAAAACTAGGGGGTTCTGTACTTTTGCACTTTTTGTTTCTTACTGTCACAAAATAAGCAAAACATTACTTTTTAAGATTCAAAAAAACACTATTTTGAACTGAATCATTTCTGTATAACATTTAGAAAGGATCGCTACCGTTCAACTAGGTGACAAATAAAACCAAGCATTTATTCTTTTTAAACATTAACTAGGCTGTATAAAGAGAACATTTCCTTCAAAAGAAAAAATTTACTTCTGGTTGAAATTACAATTTACAATATACAACACTATATGCTACGACCATAAAAGGTGTGAATATACACTGAAATGCACAGGTTTTGCTAATTCTTTTTTCTTACCAAAAAACGGGTTTATGTCGATTCAAACTTCTCCACATTTACATTACAGAGGTTTACAAATGTACAATTGTACAGTCAGAAGTATGTTCCACTACTAGGGTACATTATAGATACAGATCAGACATCAAAACAAGAAAATACTACAAATTTTTATATATGTAAAGTCTACACCAAGTATACACTATATATTTATAGAAGCAAGACCAAAGCCGAGTTGGATTTTTTTTTTTCCTCATGCTAAATAATCAAATTGTGTCTCTCAATGTTAACAGAACAAACTGAGTAGGCAGTAAACAAGTACACCCGCCCCCCACCCCCTCGCTTTAAAACCTCCTGGGTGTGTACGGTTTCTTCCCCAAAACGACAGCTAAGCTCCCTGCTTCAGCGTGTTAGACTCAAATTAAAAAAAAAAAAGCAATTAAAAAGTTTCAAAAACTTATTGGTTTTTTTTAAACCTAGCAAGTTTGGGTTTTTTTATATTTATAAACAGCGTTAAATGCCTCACTTGTGCCATTTAACTAAAATCCAAACTTCTTGCTGACTTTTGACTGAAAGGAAACAAACCGGGTATTTGCAGAACAGTTGTCTGCAAGGCAGATGCATTAAAAACGGGGTTTTTTGTTTGTTTTCTTCAAACCAACCACCCTGAAAGTTTCCACATTTGGAATATAGATACAACAGTGAACAAAAATGTGGCCTTCCATGTACATTTGATACCTATGTACAAGTATTCTATACACCAGTAAAACAGCAGGGCAATTAGTTAATTAAAAAAAATAATTAGTACATGTTATGCATAATAAAATTAAAGAAATTTACAAAGGCTTCTCTCGTCTCTTTTTTTTTCAGCCGGTTAGCAACCATAAAACGCTTTGGAACGGGATCCTGGAATACTGGCGGTTGCTGGTTGTGGAGGCCGGGTGGCCAGCGAGCTGCTCCCCAGCTGGCCCCCTCAGATGATGCCGTTCGGTGGTCCACAGATGGGCCCCAGGTCCACGCCGTTCTTCATGTAGTACTTCTCCAGCTTGGCCAGGATGTGCTTGCCGTAGGTGTATTTGCGCAGGGTAGCGATGTGAGGCCGGATCTAGGAGGTAACGGAGAGCAGTGAAGGTTAGGGCCCCGCGCCACGGCCAGGGCGGTCCTGAGCGAGCCCCAGCACCCCCCGCAGCGCGGGAGATGACCTCGGGTACCGCGAGCCAACGCGGCTCACACGGGGGGTATGTTTAGGAGGAGCTGCTGCTCAAGCAGGTGGCATTGTCTCGAGCCGTGTTACTGGAATCCAGCCGGATCCCGGCGTGTGGATGAACGCATGGCTTTGCCCGAAGAGAGGAGGCAGGAAAGATGCCCCGCGGGTGCTCCAGCCTCCCAGGGGTGCCCTGCCGCTCTGCCCCAGCCCGGGACAAACACAGCGAGGCAGAAATGGTGTCAGGGGGTCTGCTGTGGCACAGCAGCTTTCGCTCAGCCCGAGCGCGGCCTGCTGCCTCCTTCTGGGCTGAACTTCAAAAAGCTGCTACAGGCCTAGAAGAGCTGCTGGTGTGAGTTTCAGCAGGGTACTCCAGAGAGCACGCGGCATTCCCGGGCGGAACAGCCCTCTTCGTTTCTGAACCTGACAACACATTTAGTTTACGTGAGGTCTGTGGAGGCAGACTCACGCTACTCACGCTACTGCAGAGTCAAAGCCCCTTCAGAGGCCACGTTAAAGGCCGCAGCCAGCGTAATGCCACCTTCCTGCCAGAGCACCCGCACAAGGAAAGCTCCTCCCGTTGCAGTAACAGCATCACGCTGCTGAAGTTCCCCCGGACCGTTTCAGAGGAACAAGACGTAGAGCAATTCATTTTCCTAACGAGATGAGCCATATCCCACAGCACCAGCCATATCCCACAGCACCAGCCATATCCCACAGCACCAGCGCGCCCCTGCACGAACACGATCGCAATGGACCTGTTACTCCGCATGTGGAAGCTGCAGCCAGCATGAGTTGCACCAGGGGAGGGTTAGGTGGGATATCAGGGAAATTCCTCCACCAAAGGGCTGTCAGGCATGGGAAGGGGCTGCCCAGGGAGGGGGGAGTCACCATTCCAGGAGGGGTTTCAGAGCCGTGTGGACGAGGTGCTGAGGGTTAAGCGGTGGGATTGGAAGTGCTGGGTTAAGGGTTGGACTCAATGATCTTAAAGGTCTTTTCCAACCTAAAGGATTCCACAATTTTTTGAGGAAACAGTCAGAACGTGAGGTGCAGCACTCCCTGCTCCTCGGGTGGACACCGCCATGATTTGTCTAAGCCAGGACTGACCATAAAACTCCCATGGGAAACCCAACCCAAACTCATCCTATTTCACCAGCTCAGCCTCTAGACGCTTAAATTCCTTCCCTTCAGGGACTCATCTTGGAATAATCATAAACTGATGCCTTGGCCCTCCCCACAGCCCATTTCCAAGAAGGCCCAACTGCTGCTCTGAGGCTGAGAGGCAGTAACACTGCTCAGGTCCGGCTGTTCGTGCTTCCCTCGTCTGCCTTTCTAAGACTTCTTTTTACTCACAGAACTGACTGTTAAAATTACTTTTCAATACATTTCTTTAAAAATAAAAGTGCTGTCTGTAACAATAACACAAACTGCTTGTTTGCACTAATGGCAACTTTCACAATCCAAAGGCAGCAGTCGATACACCCAATTTTCCCAGCCTTTCATTCAGCTTGATACCACAGCTGAAATCTCCATATTCGGCCAGTCCTATTTAGCTGTCATCCCAGTTCTATTTTTGACAACCACACTGATGACCTAATTAGCATTTTATTCAAAAGACTTTGCTTGACAGGAGAAAGAATAAGTCAGTAAAGATCATTCATATATATTTTTTTCACTGTGTACATACCTCTATGTGTAGATTAGCAAAGCTACAGGTCATTCTGCTGTAATTAAACTCCATATATCCCTTTGCACACATTTTAAACTGATTATCTTTATAATGTCTTCTGGACTAATACAGATTTTAGTTTTAAAGAATTACTCTGATACTTAAACCTAAGAATTAACCTCCCTGAAGATTATTTCAGCTGCATGTATGCTGTTTATATACCCATCAACTGCCTTGTGTAGGTAGAAATCAGCCTCTTTGCACAGATAATACCCATTTCTTTTTACAGAAAAATCACTTGGTCCATTTTACCCCAGGATTCTTAAACACACTTGATTTCATTGGGATCTGAACACCCGACAGTCTTCACAAGTCCTCTTAAATACAAAATAAACATGTTTTCCAAGCTAGTGCTGTATTACTAGCAAGAGGTGTAGGCCTAGCTGGTATTTTTCACAAAGTAAGAGACCCTAAAACTATGTGACTGAAGAAGAAAATCTCAGTTCCACTACACATTTAAAAGCCTTCCTCTTCTATTCATTCCAGTTGTAAAGACCCACAGCTGAGACCTTTAAAAGCAGGAAAATGAAGACATCATTTGATTTTTTGAGCCTACTGCCCCAAGGGAGGCAACCAGCCTTGGGAGGTAGCAATGCATGTTTAATTCCAAAACGTCTTCGTTTTTGACAAATATTAAACCCTTACACACTCAGCAGCACAATGCCAAAGTCTCTCATCAAAACCGTATCCTGAGAGAGAGAACGTGATTGATGACTCCAGGCTCAGAGGCTACAGACAGCCGTCAGCGTGGAGTTACCAGCCAGCCTGACCGCCCGGAGCTGGGCAGCAAAGCGGGGACATGCCCTGAGACGGCAGCGCTGGCAGCCCCCCCGGACACTGGGGCTTCAGGTGCAGGGGTCCGGCTCGGCTCCGCTGAGCGCATGGAACTGCTCTCACCAGCGAACGCTGTTCTCAGCGAGGGCAAGGGTGTCGTCATTGCCAGGCCCCTCACAAGGCACCAACCTAGGGAAAGTCTGGGCGTGTTTGAGCAGCATTTGCTACACCACGAGTGCAGAACTAGGTTAGTGGGTCAGAAGAGATTGCTAGAAGCAACCAGCCAGCTGGAAGTCCAAATAGCATCTCGTTATTTCACATTTTCATTTTCCAGCTACTACTGAAATGTGTGACTTTGAAATAGCTACGTCGTTCGGAAATTCTAATGGCAAAAGCAATTTCTCCCAACTTTCTCAGCTTTCTCTCTGCACCCAGCGTGGCAGTGACAAGCCTTACACCCTTATCAATTGACAGCAGCTGCTCACCTTGTGCATGACGATCTTCCGCTGAGCTGGTTCTGCCACATCGATCATCTTCTGTACCACGTAGTTGGCGTACTGATCCTTCATCATGGTGTATAAGGCACTGTGAGGGCCGTCGTTCATAGTGCACACCTCATCGATCAACATGGCACGCTCCGTACGGGAGGCGTGAGTGACGCACTTCTCCACCACGTTGCTGCAACAGTCACAGAGAGACAATCTGTGGGTAACCACATCCCTGCTGGGCTTTTCCTGCCACCCCAAGGAGATCTCTCCTGCTTCGAGCACAGGGAGACACAGACGTGATGGCACAGACATTTAGTAACGTGAAGCAGAAGAGTAGTCCAAGGAACTTGGGATCTGAGAGGGAATTTGGGTAAAGGACTAGAAGGACCAGTTCAGGTTTTATTTCACCCAAATTTGTGCATCCCTACTGGACCTACCAGACCCAGTGACAGTGGGTCTGAGGTGCGTGTCTGTTCCCGCAGCATGCCCATAAGAGAAGCAGATGAGTTGTTCTTTCTTTGGTTTTCTTAGTACTGGACCTCGATGGGAACGGAGGTCTGAGGTCAGAACAACAGGGAAATGCAATTCAGGAACAAAAGATCTCAGCAAAGGCAGAGAACTTCCAAAATTCCTGAATATATTAGATGACTAACCTTTGCTCTCTGGAGAGCCAAATTAAATAGGGTATGTACGAAAGAGGACAGAGTATTGTTAGTCTTCTGCATCCCTGAATGAATCATAAAATCACCGAGTGGTTTGCCACAGCTAGTGCTCAGCTCAGGGGACACCCCACGCTAATTAACGCTCCATCTGGAAAGGAGGTTTGGAAAAAAAGAGCAAGGCAAGTCAGGGAGGAAGAATGTGAAAAAACAACATTAAGACCGCACTCTTCTAATTCTTGTTAATGTTACACTTCCCTTGTGTCCGTAAATATTAAAGCACTGCTTTACTAATAATAAAAAGAGGGGAATGTTGAGACTTTGAAGAGCTCAGCTGTCATGTTCAAATGGTTAGAAACAGACACAAGAGGAATTTACAAATGTGGGAAGTATTACTTCGTCTTGACATGCACTAAGGTACCTGGGATTTCACTTCTACCCATGGGCAGCTCTGTAGCATCTGGACTAACACCCTCGGACTGCGGCAGCTTCCCTAGAGGCTATCAGTATGCTTGTGTCTCAAAAGGACTCAAAGGCTTTTTAGCATATAAAAAGCCCAGATTCTTCTGTGAAAAGTGGGATGAGAAAGAATTGTTGCTGTACGGATTTCCCAAAGTCCCTTTGTGGCTTGTATGGCATGTTGTTATCCAAGGGGTAGTGACCTCTTAAACACCACAGCGAAACAAAACCAACCCAACACAAAAGTTCCCGGTCAAGTCCAGGAGCTTGGATTAGAGCTACTCTTGCACATCTTCATCCTCCTTCTTTACAAGTACAACTTACCTCATCCCGGTTTATAAGCAGTTATAAATAGCAACCTGTTGTTAAGCCGAAAGTTATTTTTACCTCCTTTCACCTACCTACCCCACCCCTAACTTCTGCAACTCCAGCATGTGTCCGTGCTCCCACGGGTTGTGGAGGCTTTAAGCAACAAATTCATACCTAGCGAATTTATGTTGACTCAACACCAGCACGTTGCCTCTAATTTCTGCTACGATCTTGCTCTTATCCTCAGGCCGACCGTGTTCTAGTACATGCTGGATAACATAGTTCCCATACTGATCCTGTTTGAGAGACAGCAGAAGTGCGTCACAAAAGGTGGACAGGAACCATTAATACCCAACTAGTCCCCAACGCGCGTTAGGACTCACAAACTTGAACTGAAACACTGACTGAAGTTATCGAATGTACAAATCACGTAAATACTTTCTACTTCTACAAAAACGTGCGTTCTACAGTCTTACCAGGAGATAAAACTCTACATCTTTGCACCAATTATGAAACTCAAACCAATGCCCTTGAACATGACAGGTCAGTACTCTGCTTATTTTGAGTTTCTTTGCTTTCCCCAGGTTCAAACATACCAAATCACATGGAGGGCTGTGCCATGGTTCTAGCTGTCCTTCTGCATGTTTGTGTTCTGAATGTGTGTATATTCAGACCACAGGATATGCATTTTCCCAATTCACATAACCGGATGCCTCACCTCCATGCCCAACCTCTTCCCACTTTCCACGTGCTAAATACTGAGCGTATAACACAGGGTTCATGAGCTGTTACATCCACGGTGCCCCAATAACCAGGAAGGGGTGTGCATAAAACCAACACATTTTAAGAACCCCAATCGCTTGGCACTTTCTTTTCCTAGCAGTTATCGGCTCTCTGCATCCACTCCCTTCAGATCCTCCCCGCACTGTAACTTCTGGAGTGAAGCATTAGGACACGCACCCACTCAGTACTTCAGATCCTTTTCAAAAAGGAAAGCAACACCAACTTTGATACCTGCTGGGTATTTGCACACAGCCAAAACAGTGAGTGGTGACGCGCGTTCCTTGTCTGCCGTGTTCCTTCCCATTCCTCCTCAGGAACTGTGTTCAGGCGACCTCGGCAGCACAGGAATCCCAAACAGGCTGCCAGGAGCTTTCCTAATACAAATTGGTAACCGAGAAACACCCCAAAGCACCTGCATTCTCCCTTCCCACACCGACCTGAACGAGCTGCTCGGTGTGTTGGTGAAGTTCCTCCAAGATGGGAAGGGTCTGCTCAGGAAGACAGTGCTCGAGGATCCTCTGGATCACACGACAGCCATACGGATGCGTAGACAGCGCAAAAACCTGTGTTCAACAGAGAGAGGCAAGCAGAGGCAGCAACACACCTGTTAGTCTCTGTGAACCCTGGAAGCCTTTCGGAATGAAACCAACACACAGTGGCTTTTCCCGGGCACGGGAGGCAATGCCAGCTTGCAGCAGGGCAGCTCCAGACAGCAAAAACTGCAACTGGAAACATCTGTTCCCTACTGCCACAGGACTAACTGGGCACAGCACATCCCTGTGCTGCAGCTTCCCCGTCCGTGAAACGGGAAAAAAATGGTCAAGCCTGTCGATTAATAAAAAGAACACTGGGACAGCCAGCATTATTAGAAGCTCTGTTAAAACCCTGTTTAAGAAGAATAAATCCAGCACACTGTTTGCCAGTTACGTATTTTAAGCTATGTAAGAAATGAACCAGAAAGGTTAAAAATGCTCAGCAAAGGATTTCCCTCAACTATTTGGATTTGTTTAAGTCTTAACTGCACTCAGGAGAAGCGACAACAAAGAACCTTCTTTCTCATTTCTGAAGGATTACCAAATCTGTTGGTAAGAACGCGACACTTTATTCATTTTATTATTGCCCTGCAGTTTTCTGTCTAGAGCACAAAGTCCCATTTGGTTGCTTCAAATTAACAAAAGTAGCAAATCCAAACACTGAAGTTAAATTGACAGTCTGCACATTTTTAATAACTATTGAGTAAACTGTGCAGGAAAACAAGACTTGAAGGGCCATTAACTGCAGAAAAATAGTCTCGAGGTGATAAGTTTAATCTTCATAGGAAAGTTCAGCTGAAACTGGGACGGATGGTCAAAGAAATGTCAGTGCCACCCACTGAGCTCCCAGAGGTGATTCTGCCTCACCCAGCTCCGCAGGGGAAGGTCCAAAGCTAAACTCAAACCAGCAAATCTGCTGAGCAAGTTCCCAGCCAGAATCCTGCGTGTTTTGACGTAGCCAAGCAAGTCCCCACTTTCACAGCTGTCCCAGGAGCAGCCAACTACTGAAGCCTAGTTCCTGCTAGAGTAACCCAAGGCTATCACGTCCCTGTGGCAAAACCTCACTACTTCAAAGTAACCCTCCAAAGCCAATTAAGTTGAAGTTGGAAACGCCCAGACCAGCACTTTTGTAATGGAAGACAAGCTGACTACAGGCAGAATAAAGCCAGCCACACAATTAATATCCAGGATGTCAATTCAGGAGAGGATGCCAAGAAAAAAGAGAGAATGAAGCACAAGTCACTGCCATTTTCGATGTGAAATTCATGTTTTTTCCATGGTGTGAGACCCTTGGGAAATACCAGTCCTGTCAGCCACCCTCACAGAAAGTATCATAACGTAAGTTTACTATACCCCTCACAAAACTCTGCTCATCCCATGTACTATGAAGATGAGAGACTTGTTTTCCCCTCCATCACTCAAAAAGTACTTTGGTGTTCCAGGAAAGCAGATTTTTACATGGATGCTTTACCGTGATATACCTGCACAAAAACGGTAACAGAGACAAGGCCAAAGAGCTTCTAGACTGCCTAATGTTGCATAAACCTTCCAACTGATGCTTGGTAAAACTTCAAAATATTTGAACAAGCTACGGCCACTATCATGCTCTTCAAGGCACCATGTAAGAGTACAAAGAATAAGAGTCAGTATCTTGGTTATGGACTTACCTGCCCCTTAAATGCATCAATGATAAACTGCAGGGACTGGGGCTGCACACACTCAATACACTTCTGCACCACGTGGTTCCCGTTCTGATCTTTCACACACTTCAGGACATGGCCATCCAGCTCCCGTACCATCTCGTTCTATTAGGAGGGGAGAAAGACAAACAGAAAGCACCACCAGGATTCACAGCTGATAAATGCAAAGTGTTCACTGCTCAACGTGGTCAAGGCTATGAAAGGTTGGAAGGATGCGCTGATGTCTTTCAAAGTGGAAGTTGTGCAGTGGCCAAGTGCTGAGAGGAAACCTGCTGTGCTACAGAGACCACCAAGAAAAGAACTATTACGAAATGGAGATGAGGCACTCATTTAATTAAACACGAGTGTCCTCTTACAAGTTAAGTACCCAGATTTAAGAAATGTTACTGCTACACAACATCATTGCATATCCCCCATTCCCTCCTCTGCTCCCCGGAAAGAGAAAGGAATCTAGAAGGCCCAAACTTCACAGACTTTTTGGGTATCAGCTTCCTACATCACTAAAATGTGGTCAGCACTGGGATAAGAACTCTCCAGTATTTTACACAGGCAAGGTAACACTGTGTGATAATTAAGGAAACCGAGAAGGTAAGATTTAGATGTGACTGAAGCACATGCTGGCTAAAAGAGTCACAACTGGAAACCAGAGAATGACAGGGTTTTTTAATTTAATGCTGCTACAAAATAGGACGTGATCAGTCTTGCAACTGATCAAAACCAGGCAACATTTCAGGAGTAGAGCGTACCCAGAAGAACCATCCTGGAAGAAGACAATCAGCAAACGTTCGGACCACAAGTGCCGGGGGTGGGCCACCACCCACTGCCCTGCTGACACGTGTGCCAGCAGCTCGGCCCAGGCTCGACCTACAGGGAGCGTGCGTTCCTAAAGCCTGTTTCAGTTTTTAAATTCAGTAACCTACACTGAGGTTCCCGTGTTACAATTCCCAACACCTTTATTAGCTAGCTTGCCTAGCGTAGTTTTCATTTTAATTCATTGTTCCTAAAACCCTAAAGGAATTCTTTTATTAATGAGCTGTGAGTGGGACTCTGGCTATCATCCACATCTCTCCAATACCAGGCCTGGCTCGACAGGAACTAGGAGCTCCTCATACACCTCACTCTGCAGGAAAGCAGAATATTGACCCACATATCAAAGCAGTGCCATCTCCGTCAATATCGAAGGCAAAAATCTGGCACTGTGTCCTTCAAGAGATGTGAAACTATCTCCCAATTCAGCATCATTCTCAGCTTCCTCTACATACGTATCTGATTTGCGGGAATTAACACAGAACTAACACCATGACCGGTTAAGCAGAACAAGGAGATGACAATGAGACCGAGGAAGGGTGTCACAAACTTATCATGCACATAAAAACGTTACACACATGCCATAAACCAAACCAAAAGAACACCAGCCACAAGAGGAACAGACGGTCGCGGTTCAGGTCACCAAACGGCAAGGAACGTTAAACATCAAGAAGAAAGTTAAAATTGAGACTTACAATTACCTGCTGGTCTGGGGGAATGAACTCAAGGGCCTTCTGGATCACCCTACAGCCATACATCTGCAGAGCCAGGGACAGAACATGCCCACGGATGCGTTCCGCCAAGGCTAACTTCTGCTCCAGGCTGCCAAACTGGGAAGATGAAGACCAGTCATTAGAAGCACAAAACCCTCCCAAGGTCAAGCAGCACAGCAGTCCTCCCAGGCTTCAGAGAATCACAGAATGGTTTGGGTTGGAAGGGACCTTACAGATCATCTAGTCCCACCCCCCTGCCACGGGCTGAAGTGTTAAACAAGAAACACTAGGCCTACTGAAAACAAGGGAAATACCAACCACACCTCAATGGATGTGAGCAGGCACAAGCGAGACTGTTGTGTCTGTCAGACACGTCTGACGTGTGAAACAAACGCTGGAGCCAACAGTGCTGGAGCCACCGGGGTGACAAGTGCCAGTTCACTAACCCTTAAGAGCGCTGATGTAAAATTACTGGGTAAAAGAACCACCAAGGCTTGGTGGAGAAGCAACAGGCCAGTTTCAAGGAGAGACTGGTATCTGCCCAACTTTCCAGTATGAGAACACAACACTTTCTTCAGTGGATGCCGTTCACTGGAAAAGTTTCGCTTTTGTTCCTAAATACATGAGTGCTGCCAGCTCAGCACAGGACGCCTGAAAAGTCGTCTTGGACCTACACCTCCTGGATATGCTGCTATTTATTCCTACAGCTCCTGCACCTCAAAGCAAAGTGTTACTTCTCAGATGAATATGAGTCCCACACTCCAGTCACCCCAACAGGAATGATGCAACAGCCAGTGGGGAGGAGATGACGTCAGTGTTGACAGATATACACTGTTTTAGCCAAATAGCAGGGTTCTATGAGCTCATCCAATGCCTCGGGACAGCAGGCATCCACGTAAGACTTACTTCAAAGAACTTCTGGATGACGTAATTTCCAAATACATCGACCATCAACTGATAAGCTGCCTGGAGGATCTCGTTGAACACAAGCTGACGTTCTGCTGGGGTGGCACGCTCCAGTTTCAGCTGAATAAACCTGAAAAATAGGGCTGGTGTGATGCCACTGGCACATACGCCCTCAACATATCTGTTAATACAAATCCATTCACAAGCTTCATAAGTTAAGCTCTTGCAAAACAAACCTTAAAACACAGTCGCGCTATCCAGCAACCTGAAACCTCAGGATGGTTGCAGCCATGAGGTCCACGGCCACATAGAATCATCACAGAACGGTTTGGGTTGGAAGGGACCTTAAAGATCATCTAGTTCCAACCCCCCTGCCATGGGCAGGGACACCTTCCACTAGACCAAGTTGCTCAAAGCCCCATCCACAACCAACATGTCATGGTTGGTACCCCAAAAACTTCCTCATTCCAAGCAAAGCAGATCTCCAAAGTAACACAGCAAGGGCTCGCGTCCAGACTGCACTTTAAAATGAGTGAAGCTATGCCAGTGGGACTAGCAAGCAAACTACAAAGCAAGCACGCTCCTCTTTAGAGGAGGAACTCCCGCTATCAGCGTCTGTGCCCAGACAATCTTTAAAAAGAAGGGTCAGTGTTACACCACTGGGCTTTGCACACCTCCTTTTCCCTGTTCTGCCTCACTGCTTCGGGATGCGATGCGAACTGCAAACACGTCATCTCAAAGAGCAGCCGCCCCAAAAGCCGCCCACAGCACAAGGTGTGTAACCCCACCTGGATCCGTGCTGATCCTGGGAGAACTCCATGATGTGCCCAGCAATCTCCCTCAGCTGTAAATTGGGGTAGCGGTTATTGCGGAAGTCTTCGAGCAGCCTGCTTCGGCCAGAGGGCATAACGTCAGACATCCCATAGCGCAAGCGGGACGAAGGGAACTGAAGCGGCTGGCGGCACTGCTCGCGCTGCGTTACTTGGCTTCGGCTCCGGGAGCAGCAGAGATGTAACGGCCGCTTCCGTTCGTGAGCCCCCCTGCAAGTCATAAAACCAAGGGTACTTCAGGAGAGGAGAGAAGCGGCCGAGGGACTACCCCACAGCCTGCGCGTGCCGTTCCACTTCTGCTGACTCCTTCCTCCGCAGCAGGCTTCTGACATGCCTCAACCAGGACGCATGCTCAACTAAGCTAAATGAACTGCCCCCAAAACCGTTTCGAGGGAGGAGGGGCGTGTTCCAGCACCTCCTTAGCACGGCAGCACTCTATTAGGTTAGGAACAGTGTCGTGGTTTAACTCCA